TGGCTTTCTTGTAAATTCTATCATAAACTCGAAGTTCAAGCACAAATTTGTCCTAATTGTTCGGCAATCAAATGAGTGTAAATGATATAACACAGCCATTCTTATCACTTATACTTGGTTTTTCGATTTGAAGGAGGTAAAAACTTACAACAGAAAGTAATTTGGATATATCAGCAGTTTTCAAATTCTCTCGAGTAGTTCCTTCTGAATCACCAGCAGCAGTTAATAGTTGAATGTTGGAAAAGATACCGGGAGACTGCTGAAGTGTTGTTTGAGGGATTTTCAACAAGAGATCTGAGACAGAACCAGGATTACTTCCACCGAATGGAACTCCGCCATTAGCTTCTAATGCTTCAAGCGATTGATTTGCACCCGATGTATTCGGCTGCATGCTACCGGAGCTGATCTTCTGATTCGCTTCTCGGAATTTCGCTTCGAAGGGGTTCACTGCTAGACATCGTTGCATCAACTCAGCCGTTGTCGGCAAATCGAGAGGAGTGAACATTAGTTTTGGATTTGGAGTATCGAGTCCGAATGAGGTTGTTGTGTCGCCAATCAATTGAACGCGCTGGAAAAAAATGAAATCAAAAAGGTTCGACTAAACAAAAAAAACACTGGTAAATCGTCTTTTGTTTTCAAATTAACTTTTTCTAATACCTTTCCCACCACCATATGTAAATAATCATTGAGAATTTGGGACGTTTTGTTAACATCTTTCCCGTTTGTCATTGTCGGTGGCATCACCATCGGACTGATCAACGCAGCAGCAGCAGAAGCGACAGCCGCTGCTACATCGAGCTCTGCGGATTCAGGAGGCGAACTGGTCGACGCCATCATATTCGGCGGCACCGAAGATGCTGCTAAAGGGGCAGCAGCAGTAATGCAGCTCATCAATCGATGGAGTTCGTAATGATTGATAGATGCTAGAATGCAGTAAGCATGAACGATTCAGAGAAAACAGGGAGAGACATTGGAGAGCAGATATTGAAACGAGAATGTAAAAAAGACACGAAAGTTTTGTTTGACATGATAACCGGAGAAACGTATGATTGTGTGTGTGACATCAATTGACCAGCATTTTTTATCCATTTCCCATTGCGGAGAATCGAAAAAAAATGGAGGGTAGACCTCTAACATTGTGAGGTGACGTCAACAGGTCGACAAAAGTTGCAGTCAGAATACCCTTCATAAAAACGGGGGAAACCGTCGAAAGATCAAAAATGTGTTAGTACGGGAGTAGGGATAACACGCTAGGTGATGGGGCGGAACGGAACACACTCCAGTACGTTGTTTCGCGCACCACATGACTATTTTAGTGATTAAATGGGCAATGATGGTGGTAAAAAAGTTACTGTATTTAGTATCCTACATGAGGGATTGTTTCATTGTCTAGTTCTAGGGTCAAATAGGGAGTTGGAGAAGGTGAAGATACACATGTTGACCTGATCCAATCTCCGAAGATTTTCAAATCGGTAGTGAAAAAATCAGGGTAAAAATATTACGGTGGCGGGAGAGAGAAAAAGAAAAGAAGTGAGTCTAATCAAGGACGACAAGAAGAGTAAGACTATTAAAAAACAAATTTACGCAAGGAAAAAAGAGAGGATCGAAAAACAGCTGATAATCCCAAAGCAAAGGAGAAGCAACAAAAAAAAAGTCATGAATTGAAGACTGACAGGAGAAATTATAACAGATTTTCGAATACTAGGACTTTAAGAGACAAGTTTGTCCTGAGATCAATGCTTTAAATGGGTTTTATTCTTAAAAATTGGATCTGAACGTATCCATAGGAAATATCAATGTGATTTGTGATTCGTTGATCTATTATTAAGTTTACAGTACTTCGCGAAAGACAGCTTCCGAACTAAATTTTGATTTCAATTCGCGAATTCGTGTTTTTGAATAACCTTTAATGACGAATTAGTATTTATGGAAACAGCACGGGGCGCTCTGATCACATTGAACCTAATTTATCGGAAGTTATTTTATCAACGATGATAGGATTAGAGGGAGCACTCACACGACTGGTTAGAAGAAGTCACGTGAGAGCAGATTTTTGCTCCAAATTTTTGTCTCAGAATTCTGACTAGAAATACAATCTGAAGCTTAAATTGATATTGGATCTTTCGAAGAAAAAAAAATCTATGTCAGAATAAACCACCACTAGCCAGAGCAGATTATCAAAACGACTTCAAAAGATTGTTGCGTCCAATATAGGTTCAACACGGACGCGGATAAAAATCAGTCGCGGGAAATGAGACGATGACGAAGAATCTTTGCTGCCAATTTTCGTCTTTTTGATATGATAACACTGATCGACAAAAATCAGCAAGACACAAACGCTTCTTTCGATGCGTGACGATCCTCTATTTTGTCTTTCTCCCCTTCTGACGTCATCATGGAAACTGTCAGACAGTCAGATTAAAATGTGAGAGAGACAGAGAGGGGTGTTTCTAAAATGATGTCATCGTGTTTTTGTTTGTTTCTATCAGCGGATGGAAAATTCATTGTTTGCAGATTGATAGTATTCTCGAGTTATCAACTGATTTAAATATAAATTTTAAGGAGGGAAAATAACTGCGTTTCTATAGAGCGGCAGCAAAAAAACAACTCCTCTTCGGAAAATTTTGGTCTTGAAACCCGCCTGAATGTGAGGGTGGGAAAGTTCAAACTACTGGAAGTGTGAGGGGACGGAAACGAGAGGAAATCGAGTAGACGCAGCGTTGAAAATTGGAGGGTAAGCGTAGTTGAGGAATCGAAAAAAAAAGACAGAATACATAGAAAAAAGCTTTGCAGGGCTTTTCGGAAGTTTCACGAACAGAAGATGGAACTGATTACTGAAACTGAATCTCAAGAAAGGCTGTCAGAAACAGATACATGCCTTGATTTTCAAATGAATATATATCCTTCTTCGAGAATAAATTTTTGAGAAAAAAAAACAAATCGAAATATCCTCTTTTTTCTCTAGACTGTATGGAAATTTTGAAAAAATGTTCATGTGGAAAGGAATAAAAAAGGAAGAGCAAAGTTTCAGACTATAAAGAGCCATAGTAACTTTGGTTAGAGAATATTCGATGACACCAAACTCCTTCCTCTGTTCGTTCCCAACTTTTCGTCGTTTTTTTTGCGGGAGGAGTCACGAGATTTGAGTGCCATTTTACCAGAATTTGTAGGCAGAGGCGACGAGATTCGAAGAGACAGGGAATAATCACAGCGATTTGGCCATCAAAGTGAGGACTCGTGGATTTTTCTAGACTTATCCCCAACAGGAGAAGAAGAAGGTGAAGGAGAAGAAGACGGAGAAGAAACATCGATGATATTCTCATGTTGATGGAGCAAAAAGAGCATAGAGCAAATGACATCTAGCGAGCACTTTCATGCATTTTAAATTAGAGAAAAAAAAGAGAAGACAACCTCTTTTTGCTTGATGAATTCTGACCTCGACATGAGGACATGAAGACATGCCAGCCCATTACCATCAATAGGTTTCTTTCTCGAAGGAGCCGAAGACGGCGTCGGGGGAAATGGATCGTTTAAAGACATTAGAACATTCTCCGTTTCTGGGTTTGTTGTAAAACGTGTAAGACTAACTAGGAAATGGAAAGAACGATACCTCATGATTAAACTTTTGACATTTCTAAGCTAAGAAAAAAATTTGCAAACTAGGTCATATTTCAGTATATGAATACATCTGCATTCTGAGTTATTCAGATCTGATGATGTTATTGTGACATATAGTTCTTCTTCTTTTTTTAAGTGGGAATTTAAAAAGAAAGGTGAAGTATTTTACTTTGACCTCGACTGTTTAATTTCGTATTCGGCTGCTGAAAAATGGGTATTCTTTAATAACTGTCCTGCTAGCTTTCGAATGATATAGCTTTCATTATGATAATAATAATAATATATTTATTTGCAATGCAAGGGGGAAATCGATAGAACCAACAAATTTGGCTCTTGCCATTAAAAATATATATTCGGAAGCCAGTAGGAAACTGAGAAAGGAAGGTAATGTCACGAGATAGAGTATGGGCAACTCGATAATAAAACTTTGGCATGAACTTCTAGGGAGAATTTGTTTTCTGAAGCTGAGCTCACATTTGAAAACAATGTTAGTGAAGAAAGGTTATAAAACTTGATTTACGGTTGCTTTTTATAAAACTGGAAATCCGATTTCTACTAGGAACCATATTCGTGAAACAAGCATAGAGAGCAACAGAGCACAACAAGGGAGTGAACACAACAAAGTGGACGAGTGCTCCTGAGCTGAGCTCATCTCATCGTCATGACTCTAAATCCTAGAAACCGAAAAAAAACAGCGACGGACAGCAGGAGAGGAAATCCGATATTTTCAAGGGACGGCGTCGAATAGAGGAGAAAAAAGGGTAGCTGCCCCACAAGTGAGTGTCCTCTGACACAGCAATCCCAAATGATGATGACGAAACGAAGGAAAAAAAGAGAGAAAATAAGTGAGGGAAACGAGGATTGACTTGTTGTCTACGTCATTTTCACCTTCACCTTCTCTCGTCTCTGAGACTTCCCATCTATTTTTTCTGTGTGGTGGTCAGCTATCAATATTGACTCTGGATTATATAGAAGTAAAAGTTAACTTGCTTCAATTTCAACGTTCTCAAAAATGTTAAAAAATACCTAATAAAGCCTTACGGTTGCTTCGAACTATAGCGAACTAAAGATTAAATTTTCTAACATTGAACTTTCTCACCGTTTTGTTAGGATCCGACTGCATAGTTGTGCTCGTGACGACGGACATAGCTGCGTTGGATTGGAGACTGAAAGCGAGAAGCTGGATATATGAATAATAGGGAGATGAAGATCAGAAAAACTACATTTTAGGGTAAATGTGGTTGAAACCACAAAACTATGTAGTCGAGACTTTGAAAAAAAAAATCTAAGCCTCAAGAGAGTTTATCAAAGATTAGACAGCAAAAAATTATCAAAGATTAGACAGCAAAATCAGAAAGAAACCCTGTCTAACAAGCGACTTACCTCAAATATCAGTGAAGAAGATGCACACGGGGTGTCGAGTTCATCGTCTTATCGATTCCGTCGTCTTCTCAAAACCAAATTCAAAACTCTGAAAAAGACACAAACTTATTAGAGATCACAAGAGATTAATGAAAATTGTCATCACAAAGCAGGAGATTAAGACACAGAAATCAATACTGAACATCGCTAAACGGATGTGACAGGATGTGCAAAACCACTGGTTGAATAATCCGCCATTTAAGGGGAAAAGCAGCAACAAACTTTATAGTAACAAAATGACAATAGAGTATCGTTGGAGAAAAAAAGATAACTGGGAGCAAGCATTATAAAAAGGGGGTGTTCAAAAAGGTAATAGCATTGAAAAAAAAATAGGAGATTTTCGATTGACAAAAGAGTATAATTAAAAACGAAAAGGGAGAAAAAGAGAGGAGATAGGAGCGGAAAGATGTTAATCTATCGTAACTTCCATCGCGTTTCTTAATATGGACCCATCTTTTCATCATCAGGAACACGAACGTCGTCGATTTTGAGAATCATACGAACCACCTGAAATATAGATAGGTGATACCTGAATGTGTGTGAAATTCATACCTGAGTGGCCAATGAAATTTGTTCACGTTTGCTCAGAAGAGTCTCAATAACCTTCTGCTCCTTCATGTCATTCGTTCCAGCAAACACAGCGTCGATTCCAAGGAATGAGTTTCCAGTCTCGATTTGTTTTGCCTTCAAATTAGGATGATGTGAAAATGAATAACGATGGCCAATGAATGTCGTCTTTTTCCCTAGCGATATTTGTTCATTCACTGATTAATATCAAAACCAGATCCCAGATTATAACACCTTTAATCTCTACTCAACAATATGAAAAGATTGTGCGAGTGCATGTAGATATTAAACGGATTCTTTCGTCTTTGCCTACTATCATTTATAACGCGTTACTACGATTTTAAAAATGTTCGATTAGTCTTTCAAGAAGTACAATTGTTAAATTATCAATATACTTACCTTCAAATCGGAAAGTGCTTCAATTGGAGCAAGACCGGAATTCTCAGCCAAGGCCATTGGAATGGATTCGAGAGCATCAGCGAATGCACGGAAAGCATATTGTTCGATACCATCAATGCGATCAGCCTCTTTGGCAACTTGGATAGCCGCAGCGAGTTCGGCAGATCCTCCTCCGTAAACGATACGAGAGTCACGAACAAGATTGCGAATAACACACAGAGCGTCATGAAGCGCACGTTTGGCTTCGTCGATTATCTGAAAATAGTTGCTTTAAAATCAATAGCGAAATGTTAAGCTACCATTTTGTTGCCACCACGAACGAAAACAGTAACTGCTTTGTTGTTTGGACATTGTTCGATGGAAAGCATGCGGTCTTTGGCTGCTCCGAAAGTGATCTCGCGGACGAGTCCAGCAGTTCCAAGCTTCTCGCTGGTCAACTCAGAGAACCGTGGAACAATACGGGCGTTTGTAGCGATAGCCAAAAGCTCGATTTCAGGTCCTCCGACCCATCTGACCGCCGGCAAGTCGTTGGCTTGAAGAAGATGGTTGGCCTCGTCATCGAATCCCCACTGGCAGATGGCTAACGTGGCTCCGCTTTCTTTCACTTGACGGATCATCGTTTCGAATGTTTCGCGTTCATAATCGCGAAGAGCCTTGAAGTCTTCGGTAGAGGTGATGTCGAGCTTATGCTTGGTCTTTGGCTTTGGTGGCTCGAATGGACAGGTGAGGATAGCGACCTGCAAATTAAAAATCTTAAGTTAGTCCCGTTTATAAGGGTTATATTACCTTAGCATTTTTGAGCTCCTTTGGCATTTGAGGGTGGGACATAGTTTTGTCGATGACAATTCCTTTCACTAGAATAGTATCTTCAAGTCTTCCTCCAACTTTTCCCTCCATTTTGATCATTTCGAAGTTGACATCCTTAGTCTCGATATCGGCCACAGAGAGCACAGCATCAACGGCGATTTCAGCAAATTGACGAATCGAACGATTCACACTGAATAAAAGATCATAATCCCGGTTTTGATATTTTTCTCTCACATTTTGCTTCCGAGACTGGTCTGAGCCGTCTCCACGAGTCGTTCACGATTTTCAACCGGGAACTTGTCGGAGATAGAGTCAAGCGTCTCCAAAGCCTTTTTGCAAGCCAAGTCGAATCCATCTGCGATCTTGATAGGATGAATTCCACGATCGATGAGCTTTTCAGCCTCTTCAAGAAGAGCACCAGCAAGAACTGAAAATACAAAAATTATGTGATCGGTTACGGAGTTTGCTCGGCCATCCGTATTGCAACGTCTGGCGCATAACTGGTGCGATTAAAGGAGGCAGAGAAAAAGTGGGAGCAATTGAATCGATATAGCACAAAAGTGCATATAAAAACTGATCAACTTCAAAACAAAGTTAAAGGTAGGTTTCTCGAAAAAGCCAGAAGTTAGTCTCTACCATTTCGATCAATTGCGTGGGAACAAGAGGAGGATGATTACAATAGATACAAAAAATGGAAAAAAGTGGTGTCGGAGAATAGAGACAGAAAAAATGGGCGCACAATCAACAAACTCTTTTTCTTAAGAGCAAACCGTTAGGAAAATTGGAGATAATGACGTGGCAGTACGGTGCGCGATGGAGAGTGTGAGCACATTGTCCCAAGAGAGAGAGAGAGAGAGAGAGAGAGCTAACATACACAGAAAGGAAAACGTCAGAGTTTTTCTTTTGTCAAAACGTGTGTTTGCACAAAAAATTGGATATCGAGAAAAGAAGAGGAAGAGCTAAACAATTTCGTTTCAGAAAAATTATGATCAGTTTAGATTCTTTCAATTCTCACTATCAGAACTTTTTTTTCTAAATATGTGATGAGTGAGAGACACAGACAAACGCTATGCATTCACAGAGACTCGTGTAACCTGAAAAACCTAAAAGACACTAAAAAACACAGAATTCCATAATTGTAACGGGCCGGGTTTTTTCCCGAATTTCAGCAGCCCGGCCCGGCGGGCCTGTCATTCCACAAGTTTTGAAAATTTCAAAAAACACATAAGGGGGGGGACCCTTATGTGATTTTTTTCGAGTTTTGTTGATATTTTTTGATCAAACAGACAAACAATCCAAAAACACAAAAAAGAATGGAGAAAATTGTATTGAGAGCTCAAAATTTGGCTCAAAATGACAAAATTTCTGCTACCGGGCCTTCCGGGCCGGGCCCGGGCCTTGAAAATTTCCTCAGGCCCGGGCTTTGGCGGTCCGGCCCGAAATTTTACAAGTATGCAGAATTCCTATAAAACACTATTTATTGATTTTACTCAATAACCCACTATAAAACCTTTGTAACCAATGAGCAACACTTTAACGAAGCGTCACCAATCGTGAGCGACCCCAGCGAAGACTAAAAAAACGATGAGAATTGCCAAGATAGGAGACGAGTTTTGGCGCGCACACAGTTTCGCGCGCGGATACAGTAATCCACACCTCTTGCACGTGTGTTCGGGGGAGATTTCTCTCTTTTAGACTTGGAAAGAGGATTTTAAGAGAAAACACGGTAGAATACCGTACAATATTTTTATATTATCTAAATCGAAAACTACCACTTCGTTCTGGCAGACCCACTATCCGTAGAAAAATAACTGTTTTTGTATTGAGGCTGTAAACACCTAGATGGCAGTTGATTATGCTGACAATATATTTTAACTCAATAAAATTTCTTAACCGGAGGCCCTCTTTTGAAAAACGAATGATTCGATATAGGTAGGTAAGAAAGTAGACAGAGATGTGACCCCGCAACACGTCCGCCTCTTTTCTGACCTAGTGGATGCTTGCGCAATCAGTTTCTGATGGTCCTGGTCACATATTACAGTGCGCATCTGGTCTGCATATTGCGTCGACGTGATGAGGGCACTTTTGCACTCTGGCTAGCCCACCCATCGCAAAGAACGGAAAAGAGAGGGGCGAGAGATCAAGTGATTAGAAAATCAAGACGCGGAGATACGGAGACTGTACACACGGCTGCTGACGTAAGCTTCTCTTTCTCTCCTCCTGTTCGTTCGTTCGTCTATCTACCGCCACTATTTCTACTACGTACATTGTTATTTGAAGTTATTATAACAATTTTTATCGTACACAAGAATAAACTCGCGCATATGAAGCACATCAGTTATGAAAAGAGTAAAATTTTTTGAACTCGGTTTTCCACCTGCAACTCTATATTTGTAGGTGTGAGCAACTGAAATTCAGTTCAGCTAAAAAGTGACGCGAGGAAAACTGATTCGTTTCTCACCTACTCAAATCGTCGATTATCAACGAATTTATATCGTGAAACGCAGGTGAAAAAAGAATCGGAGAAGTGATATCATAGTTTTGCTTCTGAACGAAATAACCCGTAAAAATAAAAGGACGAAACAATCAAACGAACGAAAACGATGATTTCCTACTAACAACTAAGTTTGCATTCATGTTTTTTGTTCCACCTGCTCCCGCTTCGCAGTTAATTAATGAATATTCAATCCACTTTTAAACTTAGTTTGGGAATTTTCTTTAGCCTGGTTAAAAACATGGCGATAACCTACATCGAACCGAAAAAAAATTAGATGGTTTCCACAAACTCGACAACCCATGTTAAAAAGGCGAAAAAGCCTTTTGGCCAGGAGAATTCACCTGTCGCTTCATTAACTCGATGAAAAAAAAACTCCTCAATATAATAATTCTTCTCTTAGTCAAAATATCAAAAACAAATCCGCCCACTGGGATAAAATAGAATTCTGGCTGAAAAACACGCATCTTCATAGTCTTGTCTGGAGCTGCCGAGAGAATAGAGAACAGATTTCGCAATACCATAATTTTGCGAAAATGCAACGGTGCGTGTGAATTATGATAGAGACCAGCAAGCTGGTGCGCCTTCGGCGCGAATCAATCTAGATTTTTACTGATTCGTGGCTCAGCTCCTCAATTATTTTTAAAGGGTCACGTAAATTTATATTAATTTTCCAAGCTTTTCAAAAGTTTGCAGACTGACACCGGGACGGACAGACGCCTCTAGCGTTTAATTTATAATGGGGTTATTCAGGGAATCGGCAAAAAAGGAAAACAACTCCGCGAAAACTCGGAGAGCGTTCCAATCTGGCTGAAACTTTGGGGAAAACTGGAGAAAACTATAGGAAACATATTGCCAAAATTTGGAATCAATATATCGACTTTGAAAATTTAACTGGAATTTTAGACAAAGTTTCAAAGTTGATATTTTGACCCCAAACTTTGGCAAAATGTTTCCTATAGTTTTCTCCAGTTTTCCCCAAAGTTTCAGGCAGATTGGAACACTCTCCGAGTTTTCGCGGAGTTGTTTTCCTTTTTGCCGATTCCCTGAATAACCCCATAAGGAAGATACTTGCAAAACAAGAAAACATTTAGTTGGTCCAAGAGCAATTCCGCTAATTTACAATAACTTGACCGTTTAAAAATATTTAGTTTGAATAGAGGTATAGCCTGGCCTGCATATATGTTTTTCTTCCAAATAATTGCATACCAAAAGAAGGTTGTCATGTGAGAATAAAAAGGAAAGAAATGCCATATTGAAAAAGCCAGGAATAAAATTCGGAGATGGCAGCAGAGTCTAAAAAAAACAAGGAAACGAAGAGCCAATTTTCATCTTCGGGCAATGAATTTTTGTTGACCCGCATTTTTAACATTGCGGATATAAATATCCTTGAAAATTAATGTTTTATTGGCCCCAGTTTCAAACAGTCAAAATACAGATTACAAAATTCGATCGAACAAATCAATAAACTCGAATCTTTTAATCACTAGGGGTTTTCATTAGCATTGTTATTGGTTAACGAAAGTCACTAATCGTCCAGTATAATTTTCGCAAATTTTAAAAGGAACACAAAGATCGTTTTTTTATAGATAATCTTCACAGAAATGCTTCTAAAGAAAGATGAAAAAATGAGAAAGAATTGAAAATTGATAGACATTCCAGAGAGTCAGAGTGTGTGACGAAATCGCTTAGTGAGAAAAAGGAGGGAGAAAAAACGGCAACATGGGCAAAAGAAGCAAGCAAGCAAAAGATGAAAAAAGAGACACATAGCGCAAAAAAAAAAAATAGATGGCTCAGTGGCTCGTGCTCTAGAGACCAGAATCGATGTGAATAGAGAAAAAAGCAAGTAAAATAGAGTAAGCGGGAAAGATGGGGAAAAGGAGGTACATTGAAGAGCTCTGAAAAAGTACGGCTGAAAGTAAAACGGGATGAAACTTAATTACGAGAAGAGGCACACATTAAATTGTTCATCTCTAAACTTTCCATGTAACCAGTCTAATATTTCAGTTTGCACCTTTTTCCACACAGGAAATTAGATATTCAGTCTCGATGAAAAGGGCAGGTCTTCAACTGGGAGAGTAGTATGCTTGTATTGGAAACAAGCCAAATCTCACTATATCGCAGTGATATGACTCTCACCTAACAAGGCACGTGTAAGAAATGTCTCTTTCATACTGATTTTCTATCGATTTAACGGCGATTTTGCGCAGACAAACCAGGGCAGAGGGAATGAATAATCTGGTGATGACATGAGTAAAACATGTGTGAAAAACCAGTCGCCCTTTGCGACCTTTTCTACAACCGTTTGGTATGTGTGTATAAAAAAGAAAATCGAATTTTTTCTACGAGGAGGTTTTTTTTCGATAGAAATTACGAGTGGTCGTCACCTGATGGTCAACACGGAAAAACTGCAATGACAACCAGAATTGGAACAACAAGAAAACAAGCAACTACGTGATTTTTTTCAGTTGAATTTCAGAAAGATTTCCAATATATTCAAAGCATACATCAATCTATATACACTCCAACCTATCATTTAGACGATTTTTTTTTGAAAAATGGATAAAATATCCACATATTTTTAAAACTGGTGAGAAGAAGCCGGAAATCCAATCGGATTATTTCTTCTAAAGCTCTGAAAAAAGATATCACGAGACGGCCACTCTGCATGAATAACCAATCGTTTTCCATCAAATCATAAATTCAAAGACATGGTGTATCAGCAAAACCTCTAAACATCAAAGCCTCTTATTTTTCAAATTCATGCCTTTCTTTCTAAAAAATGGTTACTGATGAGAAGAACGATAGAGCGTGCCCGCTCTCATGTCGGTCGCACCAATCTAATTATCGTCTCTTCTGTGTCTTAGACTCAACGGAAGCCGAAACACTTGTTATGGGACATAAGAGAGAAGGCTAGTGAAAAAAAACAGCGTACAAAGAAGGGTAGGAGTGTTAGCGCAAGAGCGCGCACCCCAGAAACCACTCAATTATTTATTGAAAGAAAAAATGGAAGGAAAAAAGATGAACAACTACATACATTGGAATTGCATAATCGTGATGGGAAGCACTAGTCAGTTTGCGAGCTAAGCACTAACAAGGAATTCAAAACTTGATGAATACCAATCCCCTTGCTTGAACGTATTCGCAAAGCATAATTTTAAATACATAAATGCGAAAAATGTCGTTACTTATATGAAAGTATCAAACATCTAATATATCTAATAATTTCGAATACAATATAAAGACCGAAAATCCATCAAGTCATATTCAATAGCTGGACTGCAGACAGGCGCGACAAAAAAAATTGATAAGAACTGGAATTCTTAACGATGCAAGGCATATGATAGTATATTTGACTATGTTTATTACAGGCAAATAGAATCGCTACACAACATTTTTTCACAGACTATTTTTTATTCCAAAACCAATAATTTGCTTCTCGAACAAGGAAAGATTGGAGAATGACAATGAAACTACGAGAAGACCACTCCATCAACCTAACATCTTTCTATGCACACATAGAAAGGAAAACTTCTATTTGGCGAGTTGAATCGAAAAGCTGATGTTTAGTTTTCTAACGACCCGAAAGACGGCGAAAGCAATCAGAATTGTAGGATAGTCTTATATAAAGTCTAATAAGTAATGTAAAAAACGTTTTCTGATAAAACATTGTTCAAGTTAAAAACCGATAAAACACTTTCGATAAGCATCAAACACTCATAAGCGACATAATATGACGTGCAATACTGATAGACAAACTGAAGCACCTAACGAAAATCGTTTTTTGCATTTCGTATTTATAACTAGCAGGTTATCAGTGGTCATTTTAAGAAATGACTCAAACTGATATCGTTCCATTTCAGACCCATTCCGGATAGATGACGTCAAGTTCTACGTGTGTAACCCAGTTCGATGTAATCGACACTTTGATCGAAGCTAGTTGTCTTACCAAAAGAGGGTCGTTCGGAGAAACCGTGAGAACCCATGAAATTTACCTAAAATACCCTAACCCACTGGTCTTGAATGAATCAATACAAACTTAATCGGAGCATAGTCAGAGGCCGTATGCATGAAGGATTTTCCAGAAAACGCGTTTTCCGGAAAATGCCGTTTTCCGTATGCAAGAAGCGGAAAACATTTTCCGGTAAATGATCGTTTTCCAGCCTCTATTTTCCGGAAAGTGTTGGCGTATTTCCGGTGTCGGGATATACGTCAGTGATATTGTTAGCCCGAAAATTGAAAATTTCGAGTTTTCACCAAGTTAAACTTATCAATACATAATACAATGTTCGGAAGACTGATAAAAGTGGAAATTACGATTATTGGTGAAATTTCTTTTGAGTGGAATGTTTTCAGGAGATTCCGCTATTTTTCTATCTAAATCTGACCCTGTCTTCATCATAATTGAGTGAAAATTGTAAAATAGGGGCTAATTTATGATTTTTGGAGCTAGTAGGAATTGATATTTCATCATTCAACTCGACAGATGATAGTTTCAGAGTGAAAAGGGAAATACAATGGAACCTCTGAGCTGGAAAATGACTCCTCAAAAAGCTACATATTGTCGAATTAAAAAAAGTGACATTTGAGAATTTGAAAACTTTTGCTTTTTTTGATCTACGAAAAAGTGCGGCAAAAACGTAATATTTCAGAATTCCGGCTCGTTCGAGCTACTTTCGTGTTTAAAGGTGGTGTACGGTGAAATTTTTTATTGCACCAAAAAAAAAAAACGCCGAAAGCCCTTAGGGACGAGGTTTTTTCTAGGCCGCCCGGTGAGTAAAAGCGCGCGAATTCAAACTTTTAAAATTTTTTCGCTCGTTTTCACTGTTTTTTTTCAAATTTTCCGATGTATCTGGAACAAAAATTGACAAAAACCTAGAAAACTCTTGAAAAAACCGAAAAAAGTGAAAACGAGCTAAAAATTTTAAAAGTTTGAATTCGCGCGCTTTTACTCACCGGGTGGCCTAGAAAAAACCTCGTCCCTAAGGGCTTTCAGCGTATTTTTCGATGCGTTTTTCTCGATGAAGGAATTTTTTTTGAATTTTTCTTATTTTTATGTCAATCTACATGCATTTCTGTACATTTTGATGCAATAAAAAATTTCACCGTACACCACCTTTAATTTTAGTTTTTTGCTTGAAAATAGATTCTAGAGATGCTAGCGATCGTTTTTATATCAAGAAATCAAAATTTTATATCGGAAAATATCGAAAAATTTGCTCTCAATGCACTAAAATTAACTTATTTTAAAATGTTTTGTTTCATACATCTTCTTCAAAAAAACAACGAGATTTCAAGAAATTCGCCGATATTAACCCTTTTTTCTGTTCCGAGGTCGGAAAACGATTTCGGAACAGAAAACGCCTGGAAAATGGTTTTCCGGAAAACAAATTTTTCTTGCATACCGAAATCGTCATTTTCCTTTAATTCGTTTTCCGGAAAACTGTTTTCCACTTTCTTGAATACGGCCTCAGACCTAAAAGGAAAACACACTATAGACATGAATTTAGTCAAGCTAGGGTAAAAGAGAAACGTTGAGTGCGCGAGGTAGAAAATGTGGAGAGAAAAACTATGTAGGAAAGTGCAAGATGTCTTGTATATTTGAAATAAAAGGTTGGTTTATGGAATGTTGATAAAGCACCTTTAAAGGCAGGCAGATGAGAGAACTTTCTTCAAATGCGAGATGAAATCGTTGTTCGCTCGCTTTTCATCTTGGAGCCGACATAGTTTCACAATATTAAAAAATTGTCTTTCTCCTATGTAGTTTGTTTCTAAGATGGAATGATAATTCAAAGATAAATCAACATCTCGGTTTGTATTCAAGCTTACCAACGACACCAGTGGTTCCATCTCCAATTTCGTGGTCTTGCGACTTTGAGAGTTCAACCATGAGCTTAGCAACGTGATGCTGCACGTCCATCTTCTCCATGATTGTAGCTCCGTCGTTCGTGATGGTGACGTCTCCATCTGGAGAGACGAGCATCTTGTCAAGACCACGTGGACCGAGGGAGGTACGAAGAGTATTCGCAACAGCGCGGGCAGCCAAAATATGACTCTGAAAACCGTACACGAATTCGAGCGCTGTGAAAATATGTAACTTACCTTGACAGCTTCCACACCAGTGATGCGCTTCTGGTTTTCTTGCTCTCGCATCACGATGAACGGTTGCCCGCTTTCATCGAACAGTAGTTGCGCAGAAGCCTGCGCCATTTTCTTATCCAAGTTCTGAAGTTACTCTGGAAAAATTGGTGGAATTGTTTCGCATAATCACAAGAGGAATAATTATGAGAAAAGAATCGTAACTGGAGAACGATTGAATAGAAAGAAAAGAATGAGTAACAATAGCAGCTGTTGAAACATTTGGGAGCTTCTGGAATCCACTTTAAAATGCATCGAAATGAAACATTTCGAAACTACCTAAAATCTTGAAAACTCGACTGTCATAAAAAACACAAAAGTTTTAGGTCAAAGAAAGAAGACATGTTCGCAAGATTTCCACATTTTTGAGAAAGGTAAAAATTAAGTCAAAGAGGTTTTTTGTCGAAAAGAAATTGAAAAATTCTAGAAAAATGGAGTGTGTGTGCAATTGCGCGTCAGTGTGTACACCCCTGTCCGCAATCGGCGACCGTATAACAAGAGAAATTTGGCGCCAGTTGGTCAAAATTCGAATCAAATTTATATGAACCGTTCAGAAAAAGTTAGAATTCGTGTCTGGGAAAATGGAAACAAATAAAATATATTGAGCAGTTAATAAAGTATTCAGGTAGACATCGACTTTTGTATTTACATCCAGAATTGAACTTGAGATGTTGTGGTCTTTTTTATTTCTCACACTTCATTTTGCTCACCCAAAAAGTCCCTTCACTTGGTCTCGAATCCTGCAAAGCTATCAACAGAACCCTTGAGATTATATTTAAAACTGGAGTGTATAAAAATTGAGCGATGGCAAGCAGAAGTGTCCCTTAAACTTCGTAACTCCTCAGAACTAATCTTCGGTGGGGTCAAGAGATTATAACTGGGAGACTTATTCAGATGGAAGAAACGGCAGAAGAGTCAAGCTACATAGTTTTAGGAGATGTAGTGTATTGTTCCATTCTTAACATTTTCAGTGAAAAATAAAGTTAGTTCATACGATTTCTCGATTCTTAGAATTGAAAAATCGAAAAGGAAAACATTGTTCTAATTCTACCATCACTTTCCTATTGGATTTGGGGAGCGAAGTTAGTGTTTAGAGAAACTGATCTACAGTAACCCGAAAACTACTGGTTATCTACCTCGCTTTCAAACTTTTGGCGTCATAGTCTTTCGAATGTTTGAAAGTGATTCAATTGTAATTGACACATTCCCTAAACAATAGAACGCGATCCAAGCTGTCAACTTTGAGCCTATATATCTCACTTTCTATAACAGATGTCGAAAAGTGGTGGACAAATAAAATATTGCTGACGTTGTGATGAACATTTTTCAGTTTACCACTTCGTGATATCTTTCACAGGAAATGAAATATGTAGTCTGAAAGTTGGCAGCGTTCTATTTAAGTGTTTATGGTATACAATTCAGTTGTAGCATTCCTTTTGAACCAAAAAGTTTCAAAATTAATTATTTTGAAAAAGTCCTTTGATTATTTTGAATAGCAATACATGGAGGGCTCCCCCATTCTCAAACTTTCATATCATGAATACTGTATTTGTTAAAGGAACACCAGTGATAGAGGCGCACCGTTAATTTTCAGAACTTTGTTTATGTCTTTTTTAATTGGTTAACTTCATTGTTGTTTCTGATCAATAAAATTGTTTTAAAAATGCCTTTTAATAGTATATTTCCTCAAAAACAGATTTTGAAAAATAGAAGTACAATGCTCCTGTCATAAGAGTTACGGTATCTCCTCGGAATGAATTCCTGCAAGAAAGTGGTTAACTACAAAAATGGAACTCCAATTTTGTTTTATATATCCTGAAATTTTCAAAAAAAATTGACATCTTTGACATAATTTTGTAGATCCCTAAAATCCCATAAGTTTCATTAAAATTTTTCAACTGAAAAATCAAATCAGATTCATCTTACAAACGTCTGAAATATCATTGAATTTGTATTTTGAATTGATGAATCTTGAAAAAAAGTTTGATAAAAAATATTAGACCGATCGTGTAGAACAGTCCCTGAAACTGTAAGAAGACCTTTATTTCCAAAATTATGGTATTGTTTCGGATTATAATTTTAATTAACATAATATTAGTTTAAATTTCCGCCGTGGTTCTTTTTTTTCAAGAATCTGAATTTGACGTCTTCTGAGCCCCCAGAAAAAGTAGAGAAACTTCAAACACAACTTGAGACAATTCAGGTCTACTGATTCAGAAGCACATTTTTTTTAAATTCATATTTTTTGCTTTGTTTTTTTGAAAATACATGAAAGACACCGCCAAATGTTACACAGTCAAGATAGTTGGAGTAGTCAGAATGTTACAAAGTGGCTGTAAGCTGAATCATTTTTAAGTTAGCCAATAAATATTCCCAAACTTCAAAAACTCTTATTGTTTAGTGTGAAAAGGTACTTTAAATGGTTGTACGGTAGTTTGAATATCGAAAACAAGAAATAATATCATCCAACTTTTATCAGTTGACATGTTCTCTTATAAAAATTGAGATAATTGAGCTCAAAGTACAAGTATAAGGTGGCCTTCTATCAGAGTGTTTATGGTACTTGTTTGATTTGATTCTAAAAAAAAAATTTTCTAATTCCATCAGATCACTTTCCAGAATATTTCTGTATATCATTTCATTTGTTTCCAAAATACTCAACATATTCAGACACACACTCTTTTCGCCAAACCCCTTGATTCTCTTTTTTTGAATTGAATAGTAAATGTTGCTAATAGAATTCCAATGGTTACTTAGCAAATGAGCTTGTAATTTAGGTCTTTCCGCCGGGAAACGATGACTCCCTTTCTCTTCCCGTATGCAATGAAACGGGCGGTCCCACTCTCATTCTACCAAAAGAGAGTGGTCAGTCGGCTACATGTTGTCTATGGTCGAGAGCACATGGAGCACAGAGAGAAAAAGAGCACATGGCGGTCAGGGCTCTTCTCGTTTTGGAAGGCTTTCTCCAGCCCGCCCGCCGCCTTCATCTCTTCACCCATTCATTCACATTCTTCTACTACGTCTTCTTTTTCTTCCCTTCTTCTTCTTTTTCTTCTCTTGAGTTCTTCTTCCCGAAAGTTGGTGAAGCGTATGGGTTCACTAATTTCAACAAGGTTTCTTGTACTTATTCTTATTAGTTTCGGCTATTTTAAAATTCACTTTCAGAATTCATCTTTTTACGATTTCGAGAGTGTTGGTTTCAGATATTCATTGAGATTCGTGTAAAAAGATAGCGTTCGTTTTTCATAAGTTATCTATACGAAGTATTTTGGTTCTGGTGTGGTACATATTTCAAGTGTTTTTGGTTATTTTACTGTAGTATTACGGTTACCGTAAAATCTGTAATAGAAGAGCCCCCAAACTGTCAAGTTTGAGCTAATTTATCTCGGTTCCCGTAAAAGATATCAAAATGTCTTAATTCGCAAAACACTTCTGATATTATGAAAAGAAATATATCAGTTGACAAAGTGTTCGTATCTTTGACAGAAATCAAGAAAAATTGGCTCAAAGTTGAAAGTTAGGAGGTCCTTCTATTACCAGTTTACTGTATTAGAAGTTCCGAAAAAACACCGTGGTTTAGATACACAATGAACATTAACATCTTCTAACAAAACATATTGAGATCAGGAACTGTTCCGAGAAACAATGGAAAAAATCATTCTCGTTAATACTTTCTCTTTTCTTCTCCAGAAAACTACCCAAAACATATCAATTTCCTTAGAAAGGACCCTTCACAACCCATTACCACCCATGTCTTCTTTTGATCATTAATTAGTCGAACGGTATGTGTTGTGCCTCCTCCTGTTCTTCTTTTTATTCATCCCGAATCGTCACCCACCACCACCACCCCGTCCGTCCGTCCGTTCTCTTTTCCACCTCCTAAGGTCACCAATGACGTAATTGCATTATTGCGGGGGTCCTCTGCGTTTCTTTGTTCACCTTTCACCATCCTCTCAACCATGGTGACGGGCCTGTTCGAATGAGTGTATTGATTGTTTTCCGTTCGCTTTTTTTTGTGAACACTTTTTTGTGATTTTTTGTACAATTCCCACTTTTGGACAGCTTTGCAACTCTAATTCTAAGTCTTAAAAGAACTTTAACATTTTCCTGATTTAACTTGCTGTCTCTGAAACGATTACTGGGATTTTGCGCTGGAAATCTATTTGTCGTTTTTGATCCCTTAATGTGATTTTGAACTGAAAACCTTTTTTCGAAAGAATCTGAAACCATTTTCGACTTTTTTCCCATTCGTTGACTAGATCCTACGATTTCCGAAAGTAAATGGTTTTCCCAATTTTCGAAAAAAAGGTCTCCCGTTGTTGACAGCTTCTAAGTGAATCACTTGTTTATCTATTTTCCGTAAACTTAACACATTAGTATTCACTTTCTTCTTGTGTAGATACTCTGAAAAAACTCTTTTAGCATACAATTCAATTCAGTTTGTTGTCAGATCCAGCCCCAAACACAACTGGGCACGAATCATCATCCTGATCACATCACCTATAGGCGTCTAGTACAAACTGGTCGTTCTTCGTTGCTTCTTTTCCACACAACAAGCCTCCCCAATTCAATTTCTACCTGCATCCCCCGTCAACCACTTCAAAACCTTTTTGTTTGACACCTGCCCGTCGTGTTTATGCATCTGTAGGCAGGAAGGATGGGGGACGATGTTTTTGCTATCGGGACTACTGCACCTCCCTTACGTTCGTAATGTTAGGATGAGCACAATTGAGTACTATGGCTCATATGAGAACTTGAATCAGAAAGTGTGATACAAAAGAGCCGTCCATCTGTATTTGGGGAAATATGAAGAGCAATTTTAGTGTGTTTGAATGGGTCATTGTATCTGTCACCAATTGCCATGTGGGCGACCTAGGAGGAGCATGTGTTCAATCGGAACTCCTCTTCTTGATTCATTAGTATTGATAGATTCTCTCTTGGACTATAGATCACTTACATTTTTCTCTTAACCGTATTTCCTCTAATAGAACCATCCCCTCCGAGCTCAATTATCTCGATTCCTCTTAAAGACACCAACAATTTGTCAACTGATGAATTATTGATGATGTTATGATAAACAATTTATCAGCTGACAAATGTTTTATATATTCTACAGAAATTAAGATAATTGAGCTTGGGAGAGCTTTTGTTCAAATCGGTTTTTGAATTCTAAGTTAACTTTCTAAGTTAATTTTGAGTAACATCTTCGCTTTATAAAAATTTTGAGATTTTTCGATTTTATTCCAAGATTTTGATAGGTTTAAATTAACTAATTTGTAGTGAAACCACTGTTCCATTTTGCAATGGCACCGTAATCATCTCATTTATAATATAAGAAGGAACGATTTC